TATTTGCTGAAGATTTGACTCAACAATGACACAAAATGAGGTGTATATATCTCCTACCACTTAGCACTATTTGTAATAGTAATGTATTAAAAATGACTTCACAACCCATCAGTACAGGACTTAGCTAAATATATTACAATATATCTATATTTAACACGTTCCTGCTGGCTCAAACTGCCATCCAATCGGGCAGCTTATACCACTTGGTAGTACAAAGGGATCCAATCACTTCTTTTGGTCTTTTGACTAATAAAATAAAAAGTCTATAAATAGATCAAATGTAGTTAGTTGCTTGAATTTGAATAATTACTGCCCAAATATAAACATTAATATATATTTGTAATCATAATTATAATAATTTCTTTAAGAATTATTTCAATAATCAACAAATTTATTTTTAAGTAATTTGTGTCTGTAGCATTTCTTCATGGGTTAAAAGTTTATCATTAATTCTCTAAATTTTAACGTGGGAATTTTACAAGTACCCATTGCTGGTGTGTATAATGTGCATTTACAACTGCTGTACCACAAATGAGCTGTATTATAATTTTTAACATCATTTTAATGTTTTCCTTAAGGAACTGTGATTTACTGGCATCTGGTCTGTTAAATCACTGCCATTCTTTGATTCCAAAGATGCCCTGAGAAGCAGCACAAACCCACCCAATGGGACAATCATGCATGCACCACTAGTGGTTTGAGCTGGCAAGAATGATTGAATTCAATTCAGAGCGGCCTGGCAGCAAGACGAATGGACTATGGCCCTGGGTTGAGCATTATAAGGCAACTTCATATGTGTTGATAGGGAAAGATCTTTAAGATCTAATTGTGAGTAAAGCAATGTGTAGCAAGGTGTGCATGGTGCTGCCATGCGTCAAAAACAACAAAAAATAATGCGTGTTTGGCTTATAAAAACAGTCATTGAATGTTTACACAAGAACTGGTCACAGCCAGTACATATCTGGAGGGTGGATGGGAACCCGGGCATCAGAGGTGGGAGAGAAACCACTGGCTCAATGAACACTGCACACTGTACACGATGCTCCTGTACAAAAGTCACTAGACGCTGCAGAGAGTAACTGTGCAGGATGTCTTCCCCTTCTGCATGCCCTCAACCCTCATCCCTCTTCCTGTGTTGTTCACTCACAGAAGGTATTAGGACTCCCCTGGGAAGTAACAGAAAGCTTTAAAAAACTTTTAAATGTCATTTTCAAAGTATTACTTTAAAATTATCCATTTGCACTCATAATAAACCCCTGCTTTACTCTTCATAGTTTACAAAACACTTTCAAACACAAGCTCTATTAAGATCCTATAAACTTTGGTTAATATACCTCTAATCCCATTTTGTACATAAGAAAACTGCAGCTGTGAGAAATTAAGGGACCTGCCCAAGGTCCTCCCTCCGAAAGCAGCAGAGTGATCTAGATTTTCTCAGAGGCCACATCCTTCTCAGGCCACTCAGAGGAGGACAGCTCCTTCCGTTCGGAGTTACTTTGTAGCTCCATAAAAAGGAAAAGAGAACGTGAGGGGCAGAACAACCTTCACAGACTTTATTTCCATGCCATGACATTTTCTGACAGACTGATGCAAGCAAGGGTCAGGCTAGGTCTGGCTCCCAGGGGATGGTACTGGCAAAGAAGGAATAATATTCAACTTCTGCTTTCACTGTTATTCTCGTGCAGCAGAGGAGAAAAGCGAAGGGAAAATGTCCTTGGCTGGTGCAGAGAGAATCCTGCCAGTAAACCTCCACCGTGCCAAAGACACCCCCTCAAGTACCATTAACATCATGACACCAAACCAGAGAGGCACTGAACATTTAATACCACTGCTGACTTCTTGGCAACTTTTAAAAGCAAGGTTATGTTGCTATTAACCAAGGGCTGGGTGGGATATTTGAAAATAGAGAGGTGCTGGAAAGGAACCAGAGTGTGGGAGGATTTTGCTCCTGAGGACTGAGTTGAATGGCGTCCCGGGTGTGCAACACAAAAGTTTCCCTACGTAAGATTTTCCTCCTGTTCCATCTCTTAACCTGCAGATCAACCCAAGAGCCCCAGATTCTTGTGTTCTTCCTAAAGAAAGAAAGAAAACAAAGAAAGGCACTCTTCGTGACTAGAGTCTGGGTGCAACTATCCTGGCTGAACAGAAGCTCAGAAAGCTACAGCATCATCAATGGAAAGCACATACACTTGCTGATGTGCATGCAGGATTTACAATTGAAGACACCGCAAAAAAAAAAAAAAAAAAAAAAAAAAAAAAAGGGGCATTTATGCAAGTGCCAGGCCATTCACAGCGGCTCTCAGAACATGAAAAGGATTAGGATGTTCTGTTAAAAAAAGTCTGACACTTGTTCCTACAGCAATAAAACAGTGATCTGAACAGCAATTTTGATCCCGCCTAAGGTTGAGGGAAAATGTAGAATGTTCCTGACATTCTATGACATGCTTATCCTGGGTAGGAAGGGTAACTTGATGCCTACTTCCCACAAAGATAGACATTTTAGTATCTTTTCAAGTAAGGGAGAAAGCAGTTGTCAGTAATTCTTCATCTAGCTGTTTGCAATTGCTTTAATCATGCCAGACTATGTAAAAAGGGAGCATCCTAAAATTCTTAAAGTAAATTTATTTAACTTTAATTTTTAAAGTTACATGTTAAAATGATGACCCAATTTTATTTAGCTCTGATGCGGCTCTTTTCAAAGTGGGCAGAGAATAAAAATGGTACAACCAAAAGGTCTGAAAAGTTCAAGGTGCCTCAGGTCAAATTTCTAAATTCAACTGCTCAAAAGCACAGCAATCTGGAATAATTATTTTCCTCCCTTTGAGTTTTGACTCTTCCTCCATGGACACAGCACTCCCACGCTTTGTTATCTAAGAGGCCAGAGCACTATAGGGAAAGGGAAAAGGAATTCTCCTAAGATCAACATCTGATCAACAGAAATATATCTGCTTTTACACTGAAACAATTCTCCATGGTCCTATTGTTTCGTGGGTTTTTTTCAAATAATGGAAAAATCTAATTCCAAAGCAATGTTAATAGCTTCATTATGTGATCATAGGGCTAATAAGTTATGCAGCAAAAGTTTTGGGGCTAAGCTATTCCGGTATTTTTAGAATATCTGAACTCTGGACATAAATCTATTACTATCGAGGCTTTAGTTAAATAAATGTCAAGTCCAAAAGGGTTGTTTTCAGAATACACTAGGTGTGACTCACAGTTTGGATACCTGGGCTTAGACTGGGTGCATCCAATTCAATGTAGAGTGGGCAACAGTAAAGATTAAGAAGTGTAAAAGAAAGCGTGTTAGGGCCAGAGATTTAGCTCAGTGGCGCCACCGCCTGCCTGGAAAGCGCAAGGTCCCAAATTCGATCTCGGTAGCACCCCCCCCCCTCCCCAAATAAACAGGCGTTTAGAAACAAGTCAGGGGCAAAATACAAGGCAGACTTTCAGAAAATTCTGATGAAACACAGAGGAAGGGTTAGAAGAATCAACACTGGGCTGGGGATTTAGCTCAGTGGTTTCGCCGTCTGTTGCGCAAGTGCAAGGACCCAAGTTTGATGCCCGTTACCAAAAAAAAAAAAAAAAAGAA